TATTTTATTTTATTTTATTTTATTTTATTTTATTTTATTTTATTTTAAGCCTCTCTCTCCAGCCAAGTTGGTGCAGGACCGCTGCTCCGCTCTTTTCCCTTCTAGGACGAGATGATAAAAACTCTTTTAACTAACATATATATCTTTCTCTCATCACTCTCTGGGTACGCAAACGGGAGGGGAAGACTGAATCAGCCCCCCGAGTAGGTTGGGTTTTATTTCATACAGAGGCAAAGCGAAGGGCAGTGGATGGGACCCCAAAACGAGAGAGGGACCTTTCAGAAACAGCCCAGCCACGGCCCGATCCGTGAGCGAGGTTTTCCGAGCACCATGGGAGGAGTTATCGGAGTTTTGTAAATGTCGATAGATGGTTTAATAAACGGTGTGAAGGGGGGAGACGTTCATTAAACCGTCACCATCCACGGGGAAAGCGAAAGGAAAAGGAAACTGTTCCTTTGGAGCCTCCAATTCGCAGCAGCGGTCGCACGGGGTTTGGGGGGAGGGGGGCTGAGCAGAGCTGGGTTATTTTTGAGAGCGGTAACGAACCGAGAAATCAAAGCCCCAAAGTGGGCGCAGTTGTGGCGGATGCGGTGAGTTCGCACCGAATCTATTTGGCAATGGAAAAGGCAGGAAAACATCTGCAGTTCTGCGAAAGAGTTGAATGCTTTTTGCCAGCACAACTCTGAAGACTGAAAATTGAACGGTTCTGACTCCGGGCTCGTCCGGCTGTTAGATTTAACCCGTGCGTTCGGTGCTGCGTGGTGCTGCTCTGCACCCCTTTGCTCCGTGTTTTGGAGAGGGAGTTGTGACCCATTTCGCTGCCCAACGCAGCTCGCGGTGCTGCGGAGACACAAAAGCGTTTCCAGCATCCCGAGCTGGGAAACATCGCCGCTTTTTCCGCGGCCGGTGGGGAAGATGAGGGAAGGGGCAAACGAACCCAGATCCCCTCTGTTTAATTCTGAAGAGCCGAGCAGCACTGCGAGGTCCGTCATTAAAGACTCCGTGACAAACTTCGCTGCTGAGCAAGGCAGATGTTGTGCCGGAACGGGCTGCCTCTCTCCGGGGTGTCCTCGGGCGGTCGGTCCGCTCGTAGGAACCACTTTCAGTTCGTTTGTGTTCTGCAGGAGAAGCAAACGAGGGTGAGCTGTGCGGCCATCAGAGCGCCTGGAAGCGCTGTGCTGTCTGCACTTCCCACTTCGGGGGGCAGAAATGTGACAGCCGGGAGGAAAACGGGTAAAGGAGGCAGGAAAGCAACTATTGCGTCCAGCAGGAAAGCAAAGGGTAGAGTTTGTCAGGAAAAGTACTATTGCATCCAGCAGAAAAACGAGCAGAGGAGAGGCAGGAAAACAACTATTGTGTCCAGCAATTTTTAAAAATTATTTCTTGCGAATTCTTTTCGTCCTCCGAGCACAGCTCGGATGCGCGGGGCTGCGAGTGCCCCAGTGGCACCGAATGGGGCAGAGCCCTTTCCTGGCGCTGCCTCGGAGCCGCAGCCGAGCGGCTGTTCTCACCTCGCCGGGCATCCCGCTCCGCTGGGCGCTCCGGGGCTCCCCGAGCTCCTCCTGCCCCGTCTGGCTGTTGCTGTGCACGACCTCTTTGTTTCTCCCCTCACCCCGTCCCGTGTGTTTCCTCCACAGCGGCGTAGCTCTGTCCAGAGCCCACTTTGAGAAGCAGCCGCCCTCCAACTTGAGGAAATCCAATTTCTTTCACTTCGTTCTGGCGCTCTACGACAGACAAGGGCAGCCCGTGGAAATAGAGAGGACGGCTTTTGTGGACTTTGTAGAAAACGATAAAGTAAGGCCGCTTATCTTTCTTTTCTCTCTTTAGACTGAATACCTGTTGTACCACCCGGCACCGCACGGCCGGCTCTTGGGGAAGGGTTCAGGTGTTTGGAAGGGCTGCTGGGGCTGCAAAGCTATCAAGCCCCCACAGCGCCAGCAGCACAATGGGAGTTTCCTACATTATCTAAAAACAGAATAAAAATTTTCATTTGGGGAGAGAGGTGGGGGGGGGGGGGGCGACACAAATCCTTTTTTACTTTGATTAATTCCACCGGAGCAGCCAAGTTTTATTAGTTCCCCGACAGGAGCGGGATGTGACCTGAATTACGTCCTGTCATCCACCGTGCTGTGTGCTTCTCAAGGCTCCACAGTCGGTGGCAGGGCTGGAAAACCATTTGCTTTTGTGCTTTAAATCCGCACGTGAAGTATTTTGCGTCGCTTCGTGCTGTTGTTTTTATGATCACTTTTCTGAGTTGTGGAAAAGATGACTGTGATTGGAAAATGTGCTCAGAGATGTACGTCTTCTAGGGAATGAAGGGGGAAAAAGGAAAGAAAACACTGTAAAGTAACCTGCAGGAAATAAGTATCAGTAGTGACAGTGCTGCGAAGTGATCGAACACATTTAAAGCAAGAAAAAACACCGAGCATTTCTGCTATCAATCTGCTTGATGTTAACTGCCTCATAGCGTCCCCCTCCATCGTGTGCTGTATTGCCTTGAGAGCGTAATAGCGACTAAGAGAGGAAAAGAAGTTCTTGAACTCCCACAGAAGGAGATGCCGGCAGTATTTTGTAGTTCCTCCTGGTCGGTCAGGAGGTGAATTTATCCCAGTCACTGAATTCACCACTTTAATGCACTTCATTTTGGCTCCCACCGCAATGATCAGCTCTCGCGTTTGCGATGCGCCCGATAAGTTGTTGGAGAACTGAGTTTTGATTCTCTTTCAGGAGCAAGGCAACGAAAAGACCAACAACGGCACGCATTACAAACTGCAGCTCCTGTACAGCAACGGTGAGTGCGCTCCGCTGCTCCTCCCGCAGGCGATGAACCCGGGCGGGATTTGCAGGCGCTGCCGCTGTGCTTTCTGAAGGACAGCGGAAACCCATTGGGGTTCCCTTCCGTAGCATCCCCTCGTCGTCGGGCTGAGCTCTGCTGTGCGTCGGTGGCTCTGGGGAGGGAACTGCAGGAAACGAAACCCAGCGGCGTTTAATGGGGCTCCGTTAAAGTGCCGCGTGTTGTGCTGCGCTGCGACGGACGTGTCGGCGCTAATCGCTCCTGTCTCGCTGTAGGTGTCAGGACTGAACAGGATCTGTATGTCAGACTCATTGATTCCGTCACCAAGCAGGTGAGCGTGGCTCAAACGCCCCCACCCCATTTATCCGTGCTCTTGTTTGGTTTTGTCTCCTTGGCGTTTTATTTGCTAATAAACTTTTATGTTTTTATGTCATTCTTGTTTCACTTTTTTCCCCTCTGTGTGTTACAAGCTCCTATCCACTCCTTACCAGTATTCCTGTATAAGCTGCCCTCCTGTTCCAAAGGGCTTTAGGGGAAGGCGTCTGTTTGCAAACCGTGGTGAAAAATAGAAAAAAGCACCTCCAGTTTGGCTGTGACCAGAATGAAGTGACGCCCAAATGCTGCCCGCTGACCCCTTGTCTTCATTTTTGTAGCCCATAACTTATGAAGGACAGAACAAGAACCCTGAGATGTGCCGAGTGCTGCTCACCCATGAAGTCATGTGCAGGTAAGATGCTTCTGTTCGTGGCCGGTGGTTGCACCGACGCTGAAATGGCCAATGAGCTCATAGGTAGGGTTTGTCTTTATTTTATTTTTTGTCAGAGTGATTCCATGTCAAAATACTTCTTATAAGAGCCTTTCCTTTGCGTTATTTTAACTTATTAAATTAACAGAATCGACATTCTTTAATTTTGCTTAGTTGTTCTCCTTCCCAAAAAATCCATCCAGGCAAGAAAGCTCTCAAACCAAAACCCAAATCCTTCCTATACTTCATAAGCCATACTTAAAGGGTGTGTGTCTTTTAATTACACGTGAAAATTGGGTCTTTTTTAATGTTATAAATTAGAGGGTGACATGAGGATGTTTTTAATATCATTTTTGTAACCCTTTTTGCATGTACCTTATATACTTACATCATACTTCCATGGCAACTTATTACTTACCCTGTTCTCACATCATTAGGGTTTTTCCAATAAATATAACGATGCAAACAGTCAACGCTCTTAGATTAAAATACATTAAAGTCTGCATGGTGTTCTTACGTGAAATGAAAAGCAAAACCCACCTTAGCCTGCACCGAAGGCTAAGTGTGATGGATGGCATTGGTGGGGTGGTGAGGTCACTGCTCTGCGTGCTGCTGGTGGCCACGTTGTAAAATAGTCTCCTGACTATTAGGGATATTAATAGCCTTTATTTATTATTTTTTTTTACAGGCCATTTTTTTATTAGTGACTATTAATAGAGTGGTAAAAGCGACGCGTTTGGGCCGACTCCTTGTTCAGAGAAGGTCTCAGTGCTTAAAGAGGAATAGTTGGTGCAAGTAGAATAAGAATCACATAAAAGCACAGCGCCTGTTTTGCTCCCACTATTTAAGATGAGCGTTGTTGCTTTCCATCAGCATTGTGAGATGCACAGTGTGTGCTCTACAAAGAGAGGCAGCAGCAAAAACCCACGGGTGCTGTTCCCTTCCGGCACACCGAGAACAGTTTGTACACTCGTGCTTTCACTGCTTGTGAAAGTCCACTTGTGCTGGGTGAGAGACACAGAAGGAACAGCCTCATGGTTTCTGTGCTATCAAATCACATTGGCACACTTGGCCTTTATCTGCTTTTCCTCTTTGCAGACAGGTTCTGTTCCAGAACTTAAATTATCTCAGCCGACGCCATCCCCTCAGATGCACTTCTTTAAATGAAAAGGAGTTTCTTTTCCTCCCGTGCTTCTTCTCCATGGTTTCCAAGTGTGAAACTCTGTTCATCTCTTTACACACCTGGCCTGTGCTGGTGCCTGGAAGCACACCCAGGGCTTGATTTCAGCTACCATCCTAAAACACAAACAGTCATTCAGATTACACTCAACCTTCCGGCTTGATCAATTAGCCGAGGAAGAATTACAACTCGGGGACGGCCTTTCCACACGAAGCACTTCTCATTCCGTGCTTCGTGTCCTCATCAAGACGTTCCACTTTAAAGGTCTTGTTTTCCTAAAGCATGGTGCTGTCCCAGCAAGGCCTGACTCCCATCGCTTTGCGTAACGCCCAGGGAACGGATCCGATTCCACTTAAACCTGACATTTCATTTTCTTTCTTTTTAAGTGCGATAATCAAATGTTCCTCATTGTGTGCTGCTTAAGTGGCAGCATCAATTTTTAAAGCCCCAGTTCGGTTTGCAATCGTAACTGTATATAAAAATTTAATGCACTGTACCCGCTCTGCTGTCCAAATTGATGCCTACTGTTTTTATAAAGAAGGGTCTGTCTGGCTGCCTGCTCCCCTCCTTCCCATCCTTGCTAGTTGAAGGTAGGCTCTTTTTTTTTTTGCTATTTTTTCATATTTTTTATATATATTCACAACGCAGACGTATTTTTTTGCTGCATAGAGATGAGTGCACCCGAAGCTCCACATCTCCCACTCAGACAGTGACAGATGTGTGCTGAGCAGCGGGGTTGTCTCAATATTGATACGGCTGCGCCGATCTGTCATACCCATTTCATACCCATTGGAAGTTAAGCTCTCAGCTCCAATAATTAGCGCTTTCCGCGAGAGGGAGAGGTTTTATTACTTATTTATTGGCCGATCTGAAGGTGGTTTTATTTTTTCCCCCCATTTGGGTCATTACAGCCCGTTCCATTGGGCGCATGTCTCCCAAACGGGCGGTAGATGGAAATCAAAGCTCCCCTCTCCCAGAATAACTTTTTTTTCCTGTCCTTTTCATTTCTTCTCCCAATTACCAACCCGGAGGAAGCCGGCAAGCCCTCCCCTACGCCCTCAATGCTCAGAGGGTTAAAAGGTATTATAATTCGAACAGAAGTAGTCTCAGGGTCTACAGCTGGCTAATAACAGAGCTGCATTGAGCGCAGGCGAGCCCCACAGCTGTGACTTTCGCCACAAGGCTCGGAGCAGACAGCAGCTCTAATCAGCTGGGCCAGGCGGCCGCTGGGGCCCGTGGCTTTATCGGCCAGATGGTGTGAATTTAGACACTTTTGTTATGCAATTGCAGGGAGGAGTTGGGGAGAAGAAAACAAAACAAAGGCCACCATGCTGCGAGCTTATTTGAGTTTGAAATTAGAGACAGATTTTTTTTT